TCAGGACAGACGTGGACTTTCAGGGGACAGACGTGGACTTTCAGGGGACAGACGTGGACCTTCAGGGGACAGCCGGACACGACACACTTTTGGGTGGATTCAGTAAATTACTGCTGTATCATCCTCATCCTGGCATCAAGCTGAAAACACCAGCTTCTTGCACCAGTGATCCAAGTTTTTTAAATACAGACCAGTACAATGATCAGTCAATAGCATCAGCATTACCTGGCACAGTAAATCCCATCAAATGGCCTGGTTGCCATAGTGACCTGTGGGTGCTGTAATTCTTATGTTTGCTTGGGATTCTCCTCCAGATGCCTCACAAACAGGAACATCTCAACTGTGGCTTCTAATCTGCTTCAACAGCTTTCAGAAATCAATGCGACCACCTCAGCCTGACGATAAAACACACTTACATCGGCCCCCGGTTCCCCCGGCAGACCAGCAGACCCAGCGCTCCCAACATCGCCATCAGGCCCCTGCAATTCCACGCCATGGACAAATGAACTTCAGCATCAAAAAGTCATGTACTCAGGGCAGTTAACAGAATATCATGCAGATGATTGCGTTTAACAGCCTGTGTTTACCTGAGGACCGGCTCGGCCATCGCGGCCCCGTTCACCCTGAAAGAAAAGGGGCAGAAGCTGGCATTCAGTCAAATATTCACCCTTCAATGGCGCAGGTCGCCTCACAGAGAGTTCCTCACCCTGAGCTCACTGGCAGTCAGAGTTTAATTAGCAGCTGATGACTGTAAATGTCAGGGGAATACTTACGTCTATGCCATCGATTCCTGGGACCCCTGGAGGACCCGGCGGCCCTGCCTGTGCAAAGACAATTAAATGATAAATTGTGTTATTAAATAGTAGCAATGATAATTGTGCATGGTCTGCATGCCGGTCGCGTGTATTCAAAAATACGGTAAATACGGATTGTAACATAAGCGTTGCGGGTCATGAGGGCGGACCTTAGGCACAGACAATGCCCACTTTGTGAAGCTTCGCCCGAGCGCCTTTCATACGCGCTGCGTACATCACTGCGTTTCAACGTTACCCAGCCGCGTCTTCGCCGAAATGCGACGCTTCCACTACGAAGTGACATTTCGCAAATCACAAGAGCTGTCCCTCGCCTCTTCATTTTATTTCAAGAATATAATACAATATTATATAGATATATAAACCATGAATTACAGAAGCTCGGGTGAAGTCTGGCACTATAACAAGCACCTGAGGGAAGAGATTTTAGACCAGCCACCTACACCTGCGCTCCGTGGGCACGGACGCATGGGCGTATCGCATTTGTGCACCAGAACTTTAAAACTGTATTATGCTGTGTCACACTGGCAGTGTGAAAGATACAAAATGTGAAGAAAGTAAAAACTTACATGGACAGAGAAAATGAAGAAAATGTGCAGAAAGAGCAGCCAGGGAGTCCGGCGGCAGGTCGCGGCGTTGGCCATGGTCCGCTGGGAGGCTGTCGCGCAGCGATAGGTCCTGTTCTGGTTTTCGGTGGGATACCGGACCCCCGAAAGAGAAGGGAAGCAAAGGATGGCTCATGTTTATTCATGAAAGGAGGAGGACTGGAAAAGATTGGCGGATGTGTGAACTGGGGGGTCTGGGAGGGGAGAAGGGGCGAGTTTAGGTTTTTGCGGGATGGTTTGAATTACATTCTGGGAGATCAGGCAAATATCAATATTTAGATTAATTTTCAGTTGGCGTCGATTAATAAAAATGACGAGCACATTTAATGAGAGGCTTGTGAACAGGCATTTGGGATTATTTTAGGTTGGAACTCCGTGTACGCAGTGCGGGACTGAAGGGGCTGTATGAAATACCGGCATAATTTGACTTTGGCGTGAGGAAATATCAATTCAAAATATAAATATACTATAATATAAATATACTATATTTTAAAGAAAATTAAATGGAAGTTCAGTTGTGCTTGTGTTAATATATGCCCTGATTTAAGATAGACTTCATGGCGGTTGAAGGAGCCGGTACCCAAACAATACGAAAATCAAATCATTAGAGTTCTATATTCGAGAGATCTATCTATATCTTGCCCTGTTAGTTCTAAAACCTACTGTTAGCCGAAAGGCTGCATTGAATAAATCTAAGGTAAGTTCCACGCAGATGTGGTATTTCTGCGATGGGCCCGGCTTGTGTGAAACGCTTCACTCCGACCTGCCGTAATAAAGCCTGGGTGTGACATTCCCTATACCTCTGTGCAAACCTGCAAGCAGGAGTTTGCAGATTCCTTCATTTGACGCAAGAACTCTCATTGAACTGTGCCATGCTGTTCGATTTAAAAGCCGGACAATCGTTACAGATCTTTTAAAAAGTTAGAGTGTGTATCTTAAGTAAGGTTTTGAATCTAAACATTAGTTCAAATCAGAATCAGAGTTTTAATAATAATTTCCATTCAAACTCAATAAAATGGGCCGTAGAAGACTTTACTTTTTAAAATATTGGGTTTTTTGGTGTCCATTATGGGCCAATTATGACGGAATGTTTTGTTAAAATTGTTACATGACTCAGTTCCGGTGTAATGTAGTAAATAAAAAACAACTAAACGGGACAGTGTTCCGTTCTGCGGTTTAGGACTCTGTGTCCACAGTTGGAAGGTCACGGGTTCAAATCCCAGGGGCGGCAGAGGCCTCTAACCCCCATTTTTCCTGGGATTGGCTAATCCTACTCTCTGAATTGTACGTCGCTTTGCCTAATAAATTAACACCATATATTTAATATATTGTCCGGTCAATGCCTGGATATATGAACCTGGGATCTTTTGCAGTGAATTAGAGAAACTAAAATCATTAGATTCAGACATTCTGTGCTACCGCTCGATCTTTATTCCGAACGCGAATCGAGCTGAAGCCTGCCTGATAGCACACTGGACACGGTAGGCGAGCACCGTGGATGCCGTTTAATCAGAGAGTCTATTCATTCACAAATAGGAATCGTTAGGTCCGATCACTCGGGACTATAGCCCTGAGTATTTTATCCCCAATGCCAATCTTCCTTTAAGAGGAAAAAAAAAGAAAAAGTCAAGCCCTATGTAAACTTACGTAGCCCCTGATCGTTTCAATAGCGAGAAACTCCCCTGCATTCGCAATTTTAAGATGATACACAACTTTGCAGAAACTGCATGTTTTAGGAGGAAACCCATGCAACGTGGAGAGAACCTGCAAACTGCACCCTCACGAAAGTGGGATTCGAACGTATACATCCCTGAAGGTACCCCATGCCAATATGTCACCATGATGAACGTACATAACAATGCTATACCATTTCGTGCATTTTGACTTTTAAGAAAGATCTAATATTAGATTTTTCACCTTATGTCAGGTTGGGTTAGGAATTACTCTATATGATCATTTCCATATATCAATAAAATGGTTGCTGAGCTTTTTTGTGCAGTCAGATTACACTTTGGATAAGATATAAGGACTTTGCAATGTGATCTCCGAAATACTTATAATGTTTGAGATCGTGCATCTTCTTGTAGATAAACTGGAAGATGGATACATGCATACGCGTTTGTGACTTCAGGGACTTTTCCGACGGTAGTGATCACTCCGCGACTGGCCAGTAGGTGGCAATGTCCGATTAATATTTCCCCGAAGTCCAGTCCCGTCATTGTTCACCAGTCTCTGCGCAACGACTCTGTTTTCAGGGCAGTGCTGCAGGATGGGGTCCGTCGTCTTGTTTTTATATGTAACAGAGATCAGGTGTAATTTTGTACCGCGTCAAGGCACAAAAGGAAAATTTTATGCAAAGTAAATCGGAGAACGACACTGGTCGTACATTTGAAGCCGGTCATTCTGCCTTATTATGACCTGAGATTAATTACTTATTTTTACAGATGCAAAAAAAAAACAAACAATGGAGACTGCGTTTCAAAATGTTCTTTAATTCATGCAAAGTATAATAAACTTTTCTCGTTGTTACATTGCATAGAAAACACATCGAGCCCCAGAGAAGACTGTTTACCAAAAGGGTAAGATCATCTTCACAATGTTTAATATGTGTGTGCATGTAACGATCGACTACAGTGAGAAAATGGGGTGGGAACTTGTTGGATTCTCTTGTGTTTTTATGCGACGCTGCTTTGTTAGCCCTAAAAACACTGCCCACCTCGCACAACCTGCTCAATGCACCCATAATAGCTAAACTAGGCTACATTCATCAGACATTATCACCATCAGACTATCTTAGCCATTTAATTATTGCAAAAGTATTTTTCTAAAGGTCACCGAATAATTTGTTTTATGCTTCTTTTAAAAACAATTTAATACTGTTAATTATAATGCTTTATTGACTTCTGCTTGCATTTTTTCTGTTTCTGGTTAGCAAACGACTCAACTAAGCATACCCAAAGAAACCCTAGTGAATTGTTGTTTCAAATATTACGTTTAATGTAATACGGTTTATATATAGTAAGTTTGATACTTTTGATACCTTCTGTCAGGTCATCATTGTTTTTATCCGTCTTGCATAGCCGTTTATTCAGTACAGGGATGCGGTTATGTTAGAACCGACACCAAGAAGCACAGGTGAGGCGGGACAAGATCATAGATACATTGTGGGTAAAACTGCACACACGGCATTTGATGATGATAATGATGACTACGACTATTGTTACAACAATGATGATCATGATCATCATTGTTGTCATGATGATCATGATTATTATTATTATTATTATTAATAATAATAATAATAATGATAATTGATAACAGCATCAACAAGACCAAAACTATAATAATAATAATAACCAGCATCATCATCATCATCATCATCATTGTTGTAGTTGTAGTCTCGGGACTCCAGCGGCCCTGCATAGGACAAGAAGATGGATGGATGGATTGATGGATGGATGGATGGATTGATTGATTGATTGAAGGATGGATGGATAGTGTTAGTAGTAGTAAACTGCATCCGTATATCAAATGGAAGGTAATGCAAATGTGCTCGTTGGCAGAACTTTATTATAAAAGAAATTAAAAGCATCCAGAGTAAAATTTTAAATAATTTTTTAACATATTATGATTCATTGCTGTCAAATGTTTCCCAAGTGAACTGATTAATATCCATGCACTACTGTTGTCCTTATCCGGTAGATTGTTATTCAACTTATTCAATTATGAATTGCTCTCTGGTTGCTCAGGCTTTGAATTCCATTAACATTACGCGAGAAGCACCCAGCAGACCCAGTCACCCACTTAATATTAAAGAGTAGATCTTTCAAACACCCAGGAAAAAACATTCCTATAACACGTATTAGCAGATTATTCGATTTCTGACTGCAACACAACCGCAGAGCTCCGATACCGGAACTTACTCACGCCCACGAGCTAGGACGCGCCCCCGCCAGCGCGAGCGCGCCTCCGCCCCGCTTCTGGCGTGGACGCGCCCGGAGGGAAAGCGTTCTGACGCCACGGCCAACATGGAATTCTCGGTGCCCGGTCGTTCCTAGCCCGCCGTCTCGCTCTCTCCGCGTGGCTCCAAACGGAGACAAGCTTCGAATCGGGACCGGCGCGCGCAGTTCCGGACTGGACCGAGCCGGAGGAAGCGACCTCGCAGTAAGCGTCCCCGACCCCAGCCCATAACCGCGAAGAGGAGCCCGACCCGCTTCACGGGAAGGAGGCGACAGTCGGGACAGCTCAGCTCGGAGATCCTCGGCCTTTATTTGGACGGTCCTGTGGGAAACTAGAGGTACGCGGCTCTCGGCAGACAGCCGGGAAGTGGCTCTCGGCGGCGGGCCGACCGGCGGGTTAATGGGCCGCTTGGCCCAAATGGTTAGCGGGTTGCGTGCGTTGTAGAGCGGGCTGGTTCAGTGCTGACATGCCGCCGGAATAAACGTGAGTGACGGAGCTGCCCATATAGACGTCGGTTCGAGCTGGCCGGTGTCGCTGTCCGGGCGGGGAGCCGCCGTCGACCTCCGGGCCGCGCTATTTGTTTATGCTGACTCCGGGTTTGAGCGGCTCCGGCGGGAGCTGTCGGGAAGGCGGCAGCGCAGTAAGGCTCTCCCCCTGACACGTCCGGGCCGGGGTGAAGCTGAGGTCCGATGCGTGTTCAGTGTCCGGGCCGGGGTGAGGCTGAGGTCCGATGCGTGTTCAGTGTCCGGGGCGGGCAACGGAGTTTCCCAGTAGAAGTACTGACCAGATGTCTGTTCGGCTCAACAGGCAAGGAGGCTCCAATCTAAAGTTATCGGCCAGACATACTCGGGAGTAAATTTCACTATTTTACGTCGTGTGTCAGTTATTAATATAGCTGCGGCGGTGCCCTTAAATAGCTACAGTAATATTAATAATATTGTCAGTTTGAAATTCAGCACACGTTTGTGCTGCATGACGGACGTAGAACTTGTCGATTTGCTAGGCTTTTAACCAGTATACTATACGTACGTCTGAATAGTCTGGTTCCACGATTTCTGCCAAATTAAAATAAACCCCTTCTTTCTGCACCTTAATTGTTTCTTGTCATTCAGTTGGTTTCAGTGTTTTCAATGGAAAGGTCGTCGTTAAGGTAAATCTGGCGAGTATATTTCGCCTGTAGGCGTTCGCCGCGGTTGTTAATCGAATCATGACTGAAACTGAACAATTCATAGTGTAATGACAGGCAGCCCTTCCCTGTGTTTATAACCAGCGACGCCACGTGTTTGCGAGGATCACAGAGAAGCTGAATCATATCAGTTGTATAAACCCAGTTTTGTAAAGGGAGCATTCATATTTAACATTTTATTATTCATGTACAAGATGTGGCGCCTCCCGTGTGTTACTCCCAGACTCAGATGGGCATGTCCTCTGGTCCTCTATGGAGTAGAGGAATGAACAGTTAATCTAATTCTCATTTTTAAAGGGTATCATAAAGAAGTGAAACCTTGAAGCGTTTACCTTTTAAATTTTGCGACACGTGAGTAGTAATTCAGTCTCACTTGCAGCACTGCGGGTATGATGCCACCCGGTAAACTGGGCCCTGAGCTGTGTGTCACTGATAAGGACCCTTTACTCATGCAGAATAATTCCTTGACTGGTGCATTATGTCAGTAGCTCTGACTTTGCCCTGTTCACTTCTTGTGAAGCGATAATATTTGCAGCTTTTTGTGACCATAACTTTGTGCAACTTTTTAAACCAAGCATAAAGTAGGGTTTCATGGTTCAGGCACTCTAATATTGGTGTATGCATAAGCTATTTGTATTTTTCCTAAGTAATATTAACTCTTCATATATTTATTTGGAATTTTAATATACCTGTATGTTAGACATAGAAGTCAGGGATATTTTACATGCCTTCATATTAGCTCTGTCCACATAATTATATGTCATGCTACCTTAATGAAACAGTCATTCTAATGTAAATTGTTAAAATAAGGCAATCTTTTAATGACTTATTTGCAGTGATGGAGATGACCCGTTTCAGGTGCTGGGAATGGCCCTGCTATGCATGAAGAACTCCCTCTTCCCCAGAAAGATCAGAAGTAGGTGAGTGGATCAGCTGAGGTGGCTGTTCTAAAATAACTAAGCGGCCATCTTTGGGCCCAAGGAATCTGTAGGCCCAGTTCTGGCCTAGCTTTGGTGCAAAGAAGCCACTAATCTGAATTTATCAATCCATCAGAGTCATTGATGATTTAGTGTCCCTAAGGTTCCCTAACAGCTGTCATACTTGTCCATTTGCTGGAATGGGTCCAAGTAGAATGTTTTAATTCCTCATTCCTTTTAAACTGAATCTACCAGGGACCTGTACTACGAAGCAGGGTTACTGGCTTATCGGGGTAACTTGTCGGATTTAAGGTACCATAGTTTAAATGGACTTCATATTCGTTCACTAAGGTAGTCTGGGCAAAATGTAAGTGAACGAATATGAAGTCCATTTAAACTGTGGTACCTTAAATCCGACAAGTTACCCCGATAAGCCAGTAACCCCGCTTCGTAGTACAGGCCCCTGGACTGTTTATGGTTATCAAATGAAAATGAAAAGTTCCTTATTGTTGGTGTTTGTCAGTAGAAAGATGTGATTGTGCCCATTTCTTTCCAAAAAAATTTTTCAAGTATTATTTCATTCCCAATGACTATGATGTGTCGGTGAATGAAAAAAAATATTTATAGTTTTTTTTGAGTGTGGGGGGTGGACAGAGAGTAAGGTCTGAGAAATGTTTAATGCTGAGTGTTTGAGGTTTTATTGTTACCAAAAATAAAAGATGTTACTTTAGTTATATCCATGCACTTTAAATAAGCTCACTTCATGTTCGTTTGAAAAGTAAAGACAACTGTGTTCATGCAGTGCCCAGCATGAAAGCTGAGGAGCCCCATTGTTTGGGATGGGCTTCCCAGTCCCCCCTTCCTCTTCCTTTCAGGCTCCTGGCCACTTAGCTTTACGTCCCAGTATGGAAGCTGATGGATTCTGTGTGTTGGGCCCTTGCTGCAGTTTGAATATGTCCTGAATGTCCTGTTCAGAGAGGCATCCTATTTGGCTGATGTGGTACAAAGAAGAACTGTCCAGAGGGACTGCTGGATTCCTTTTAATTAACAGAAGATAATTAGACATGCGCCACTGTTTAAAACCCCCTAAGCATCTGATGGCTCTAGTAAGGTGACGTGTTTTGGACGTTTAACCCTCATTCCCAAAACAGCTACTCAGGGCCAGTCTGTGCTCTCGGCTGCTGAATTACGGGTTTTAATCAGTGTAGTGAGTAAGTGCACAGTCACTTGGCAGGGGCGGGGGGGGCAGACTGCTGCAGAAGCTGGGGCACTATTGGCCCATGGGGGGGAGGACAGGAGATAGGCCATAGATAACCTGCTTTTAGCAGAAACATTCTGTCACATCGTTTGTGCTGTGTGAGGTGCATGCTGAGTCACTTTAAATCCTTGTTTTATTGTAGATGTTTTCTGTGCAACATTTTTTTCCTTCCGAATTGAAATTTCTGGTTATTAGTTGGGTAGACAAGAAGGTTTCGCATGAAACAATGTCCAGTGTCCAAAACTGTCATATTTATGCATGGATTGTATACACGGCCTCGGATGTCTGTTTAGGTAAGCTTTAAGAGAATGATCAGCAGCAAAGACTCCTGTAATGAAATGGGCTTTGTGACAATGACCAGCAGCAAAGACTCCCGTAGTGAAATGGGCTTTGTGAGAATGACCAGCAGCAAAGANTCCCGTAGTGAAATGGGCTTTGTGAGAATGACCAGCAGCAAAGACTCCCGTAGTGAAATGGCCTTTGTGAGAATGACCAGCAGCAAAGACTCCCATAGTGAAATGGGCTTTGTGAGAATGACCAGCAGCAAAGAGTCCCGTAGTGAAATGGGCTTTGTGAGAATGACCAGCAGCAAAGACTCCCGTACTGAAATGGGCTTTTTTGAGAATGACCAGCAGCAAAGACTCCCGTACTGAAATGGCCTTTGTGAGAATGACCAGCAGCAAAGACTCCTGTACTGAAATGGGCTTTGTGAGAATGACCAGCAGCAAAGACTCCCGTACTGAAATGGGCTTTGTGAGAATGACCAGCAGCANGGCTTTGTGAGAATGACCAGCAGCAAAGACTCCCGTACTGAAATGGGCTTTGTGAGAATGACCAGCAGCAAAGACTCCCGTACTGAAATGGGCTTCGTGAGAATGACCAGCAGTAAAGACTCCCGTACTGAAATGGGATTTGTGTCCTTCCCTTCAAATTGTTCATCAAACTCCTCTTGCCCCATGTCCTCTGTTGTAGTTCTAGATATCCTGTTTTCTTTGGCTGCATTGAAAGTTATTTCACTGTAACTTACCAGTTGAAATTGTACCGAATTTATTGGTTTATGCATTTACTAAAGACGAATGCTAAAAATACGATTGAGTCAAAATTCATGTAGGCCAATGTATTTCTGGCTTTGTCCAGCTGTTCATATTGCATTTCAGGTTATTTGTGTCTTGTGAGTCACGGGCCCTCACCCTGCTCCTCCTCTTATTTTGTGCTCCAGCTCCAGTTTGGATGCAGCAGATGTCAGTATCTTGCGTCCGAAAGGGCTGGAGCTGATGAGATGAAAATCATAGATAGACTCAGCTAGTGGTTCCCACATTCTGAATGATGTCAGCTGAGATCGGGGAGTGTGGCCAGAAACACAGGGATGTCTCATGCTTAACGCGACCTTACTGTGCAGGTGTGGAGTGGGCGATGTGAGCGAGGCCCGCCTCCTCTGAATTCCAAAATGAGCGAGGTGCAGGCCACGGTGGAGTTCTGCCTGGAGCTCCTCAAGTTCTACAACGTGGACCTCTTCCAGAGAGGGTGAGTGTCCCTTAGGGTTTCATCTCGAGGCATCTCGCACTTTTCTCAGTCCAGAGATAGCACCAGTGTGTTCTTTGGCCAATGCTGTGTGGTCACTTAATAGACCCTGTCATAGAACTGCTGGGCAGGGAATCTGAACCTGTATAAATCACAAAGAGTGTTGTCATTCACTGCCCTGCGGTCCAGCGGAACTGCAGTAAAAAAGCGTTATGTCTGTGCTAGTCAGTCAAGTCAAGCTTTGGCTTGTTTGGTCTAAATGCTTTCTGAAGTTTCACCGGGGAGGTGGCAGGCCGTAGAAGCCCAAGCATGTTTGAACTGTTTATATGCCTCTGATATTTAGCAGCTGATTCGGTAAAAAAACGGCAACGTAATTAGCATATTTTTTTACATGGGTCTCTTGGGCAGTGGTGTCTTAACGGTTAGGGAAGTGTACTTGTAATTTAAAGATTGCTGGTTCAAATCCCCGACCAGCAAGGCACCACTGAGGTACCCTGAGCAAGGTACCGCCCCCAAGCACTGCTCCCCGGGCGCTGAATTAGCTGCCCCCTGCTATGTCACGATGTCACATATGGGTTAAATGTAGAGGACACATGTCATTGTTGTGTGCTGTGGTGTGTCAACAATGACCACTGATCATCTAATTCTAATTGGGAAGCACGTTTGCTCACCCAGAAGGTGCTTCTGCGTGCTGCCTGACCAGCTCATTCCAGCAGCTCTCTCTGGGCGACAGGGAGGCAGTTACTGCAGGCGGAAACGATTTGACATGGTCCTGTAGCAGCATGTCGGCTGTATCACTGCACCCGTTCTCTAAACTCAAGAGTATGCAGAAAGAAGTCGAAACAGAAAAGCAAACTGCAAACGTTACGAAACTGGCTTTGGCCTACGATGGATGTCTTCCTGATTCCATGCTCTTCTGCGCCTGCCGGAACCGCTTGCTGCCATTCTCCAAGCCAGAGTCAGCTTGTGTGACTCTGTGCATAAAGCCCACATTCTTATGATTAGCGCCCCCTCGGCGTGCGGGGGGGGGGGGGGGGGCTGGGCGCCCCTTGTGTCAGTCTGAGGCTCTTCAGGACGTTTGTGGGGAAACTTGTACTGCTCCTGAAGGCTTACAGATTGACATCCTCCAGACTGATGTTGAAGTGGAGGTGCTTCAGGGATCAGCAGGACTTACTGTGTACATTTGTCACGTGTGTGAAGCTGACATTTGATTGGGAGACAGGTGGGGGAGTAAAATACATTTTCTTTTCTTAGACTGTAGCTGGTATGATGACATTATTGGAACGAGGCCCCACAGTCTTTGCGATGTTTATGAATCAAACGGTCCGGAGGCTGCTTTGAACCAGAACTTCCTTTTTTTTTTTTCCAGGTTTTACCAGATCCGTAGTAACCTGAAGGTGCCCCAGCGGTACCCTCACAAGGTGGAAGCCAGCCTTCTGAAACCCACAGGTCAGTTCACCTTCAAACTAGCAGGCTTGCAGCGTAACATATCAGCTGCCATTGGAACTTGGGATGTCTGGGCGAAAGACCTTGACCTTGATGGACTGGTATGCAAGCACAATGGTAAGGTCACCGCGTGGATGGACCATGTCATGTTTCAAAACAGCCTACAGAGATGTGTGTCTCAGTGTCCTGTCCGGTGGCATCAGAGCCAGTGCTGAGGTCTTCCCTAGTGACATTGGATACTGCTTCTTTTCCAATATCCTGGGATACTTGGGATATCCTGGCCTTTGATTGTGGGAGACCATCCAAAATAAATATGAAATGTATCTATTGGTTTCATTCATTAGAAGATTCAAACAAAAACATTATACAGAAACACAGTTGTATATATCTGCATGAAAGGATAATCTTAACAAGTGCATTTCTTACTGAAGGCAAGCGAGATAAGGTTTCCTTTTGAATTTGATGTTCCATTTTGTAAGACAAAAGTCGAGTTTCAGTTCCCTTTTGCAGAACTAAAGTTGTTAAGAGATAAAAATTACATATCATTTCGTAATGAACTGTTTATGATGATGGTGTCCAAGCCTCAGTCTGTACCTCCAGTCAGGCATGGGCATCCCTGCAGCAAAGTGACGTCATGTGTCATTTAAGGTGATGTGGCCAACACAGGACACCTAGTCATGTTTCCGGCGTTGGGACTCAGGAGAAACATATTCTTTCTCAACTTATTAACTAATGTAGAAAGGTTCTGTTTTAGCTGTCTGACTGAGTCAGTTACTGTAGTGTTATAGCTGTGGATCTGACCTAGCTTTCTGCATGAAGGAAAGCTCCTTATAGCTATCAGTTCCTGCTCGGCCCATCTTTGTGTCTTAATGGTCAACATGCAGCTTTACTCTCTGTCCCCTTTTTCCAGGCTCTGATCTTGCCTTCCCTGCCATGGTCCACAATGAAACCGTATGCAGCAAAACCTTTCAGATACTTTATAAGAATGAGGAGATTGTTGTCAATGATGTCCTTGTGTTCAAAGTCAAGTTGCTGCTGGATGAAAAGAAGGTGAGAGCAAAATGGAGCACGAGCTGGAATGTAGGTGCTGGACCGTCACAGTGCAAAGCCATCTGTGCTGGCTGAGTCACGGTATAAAGATGGTCCAGTGTTACCTTGTCAGCACTTCAGATGTCATTCTGCCTTAGCCACCTTCTAGTGGTTTCAAAATGACTGTGTTCAGTTTCCAGACTGGTCTCTGTGCTACTTTGGCTGAAGCCCTTTAATTCTCCTTCAGGTTGAAGAGTCACTGAACGACATGGACTTTCAGTTGTCTTTAGACCTGTACTTCACCGATGGGGATTACTCGTAGGTATCCATAGTTGTCGGGGGGGAGGGGGACAAACTCTCATCCACAGTTTGTTGAGACAGTCCTGTGTTCCCAGGCCGGAAGAGCTGAATTCCATGCAGAACATCAGCAGCCGCACCCTGCGATTCCACTTTGACCTCCAGCGGGGCATCCATCAGCACGTCAACGTCATGTTCGACTACTTCCACCTGTCCGTCATCTCCGTGACCATCCATGGCTCCCTGGTGGCCCTGCACCAGCCACTGATCAGGTGGGTCCCTGGCACCAGGCTGTCATCGCTGTGCTCTGAGTCATGTTTCATGGCCAGTTAGCCATTGATGCCGATCATTCTCATTGTGTAATCATTAGCATGATGATTAGCACTGCACTGAGCACAGGCTAAAATCAAGGCTTCGGTGTGAATAATGACATCAGCTAGCGGTGGCGTTTGGGGTCTAGTGGGGTCTAGTCCAGCGCTACTGTGCATCGCTCCGTCGCCGGCTGGTGGTTGAACGGCGTCCTTCACACCGTCTGGTAGCTTCCGTGTCATGTCTTTATGACAGAGCCCTTGATGGCCAGCATGTGTATTTGCACTTATCGTTAGATTGACTGTGTGAATGTCGGCCAGCCGCCATGTGGGTGTTCAGTCGTGCTGGTTCTCCTCCCCAGCTTCCCACGGCCGGTGAAGAGCACGTGGCTGAACCGCAACGCCCCCCCTCAGACCAAGGACTCCGTGGTTCCGGCCCTGGAGCGCGTGGTGTTTGGCACGGCTTACGTCAAACAGGTCTCCCCTGATGTAAGGCAGCCCTTGCAGGTCTCCCCTGATGTAAGGCAGCCCTTGCCAGGTCTCCCCTGATGTAAGGCAGCCCTTGCAGGTCTCCCCTGATGTAAGGCAGCCCTTCCAGGTCTCCCCTGATGTAAGGCAGCCCTCCCAGGTCTCCCCTGATGTAAGGCAGCCCTTCCAGGTCTCCCCTGATGTAAGGCAGCCCTTGCCAGGTCTCCCCTGATGTAAGGCAGCCCTTGCCAGGTCTCCCCTGATGTAAGGCAGCCCTTGCCAGGTCTCCCCTGATGTAAGACAGCCCTTGCCAGGTCTCCCCTGATGTAAGACAGCCCTTGCCAGGTCTCCCCTGATGTAAGACAGCCCTTCCAGGTCTCCCCTGATGTAAGACAGCCCTTGCCAGGTCTCCCCTGATGTAAGGCAGCCTTTCCAGGTCTCCCCTGATGTAAGGCAGCCCTTNCCTTCCAGGTCTCCCCTGATGTAAGACAGCCCTTGCCAGGTCTCCCCTGATGTAAGGCAGCCTTTCCAGGTCTCCCCTGATGTAAGGCAGCCCTTGCCACTAACAGTCAGCATTCAGTCGTCCTCCGGCTTGTTGAAGTCATTTCACCAAAACATAATGTACCTTCGGTTGCGCCCTGTTTGTTTGGTACGTCTATGACTAGTTCCTGTGGGGTTAAGCCTCTCGGACAAGCTACTTAACAAGCTAATAACACGTCGTCCTGTCATGTGCTGCATCACCAGCTGAGGGAGTCAGACCTGTAAGCCAGACACGTCTGCTCTCTTACCCCAGTTAGAATTTGCTATTCAAGAAACATTGACTACGTGGTATTTAGGACAGATATGCAGTCATATATATGTATATAGTATTACACGTCCTGCTTTTAATTCTTTTTTAAAATTACACAGTAACCTGTGGTCCTTACTACAGTATTAGAACACATTCCTATGGGACGAATCATGTCTGAATGTTTGTACCCCAGAGTAGCAAGGAGGCTAGGAGTTCTTGGCAGGGCTTGGCCGTGTTTGACAGGTTGCATGGATTTTAAATATATATCCCCAAAATAACAGCCGGGGGCAGGACGCCCAAGATAGCCGCACACCCCCTCCCTCCCATGCAGCTTAACCCTGCTGTTAGCGTTAGCATTAGCGCCGCACCTGTCGACGGCCTGCGTTGAACTCAGCTCGCTGTCGTGCCCGGCAGGGTCGCTCGTTCGTGGTGTCGCCGCCCTGTCTGCAGCACGCGTACCACCTGCACTACAGCCTGTGCGCCAGCCTTCTCCTGGCCTACCAAGGACTCTTCAACTACTTCACCACGGTGACCAAGGACCTGCCCTGTTCCCACCGCATGGAGCTGGGTAAGGTTACTGGTGCTTATGCTGGGACTCAGTCCATCGTGCACAGTCACATTGTGATTTACACACCATTCACAATTATCCTCACATGTTGTCTTGCAAACTGTTCTCACATTGTAACAAATGACCATGATTTTATTTCTGTTGAATATTTGCTTTGAATTTATTTATTTTTTATTTACCTGATTTCTGTTAAATTTCGTCTCACTCCTTAAAACCAGCCTAGAAACACTTTGCTTGTGTATCTTGTGAAACGCCTGAATCCTGTCTAACACTCACCGCTAAGACTTAGTCCTTATATGCCGTTTTTCTTTGACTAATCTGACTGACACTACAAAGGACTTGTTCTTCATAGAGTAAAGACACTCTGGTTCCTGCTCTTGTAGGTTTTGACACCGAAAGTTTCCAGTTTCCCTAAACCTAACCCATGTTCCTCCTTCTGCTCACATCAGTGTGCACTGAAGAATGCCAGTTGCTTACAGTCTTTGCGTGTCTGATGGTCAGAAGGACACAGTGCGGGGGGGCATGGGTGTGCTTTTAATTAACAAGTGCCCCTTGGCTGCATGACGAATTGGGTTAGGGCACCCAGCCACCTAACGAACCCCAACCTAACGAACCAGTGGTGCACAAACCCGGTCCTCAGGTCCTGTGGTGCTGAGAATCGTCATCATTAGTGCCTGGTTTTCTCCTGAAACCCTGGTGAGGTGATGGTACTGCTCAATTAAATGCTTCTCTGAAGCATTACGTGGCTCAACAAAGCAGAGCTCAGTGCCGTTCTTGAGGTGCGGCGCTGTGCATCCGCCTCCACCTGCTGACACAAATGTGCATGTGCTGTTTGCGAAAGCCGGCTGTGCCCTCCGTGCGGAGTAGCAGGGGAGTGAGACGGAGCACAGACACTGAGTCACGCTTCCTCTGTCCACGGGGATCCATTTAAAACTCCTGTATGTCAAATCTCAAAACTAGCCAAGCCCAGCATGCCAGTCCTTTATGAGCGAGCTCTCAGAAGACCGTTTCCCCGAGGCCAGGCGCCCGTCTGCATAGGTATGTCCCTCCCTCAGACCCTTGCATCAGCCCGATCGTCACCCAATCCCTTTTCTTGTCTTCCCACTGCTGTTTTCTTCAGGACTTCTCCCTGCTTTGCTGATGATGATGTCAGTCCAGTTTAAACTTAAGAATCATGGTTAAAAAAAGACCACTTCTCGACATTTGTGTCCAGATGTTAACGTTATTTGTTGATGCCTTCTCCGATGTGCACTTGCCGTAACCTTTCCCTCTCTCTCCTTTCTAACTTGGGTTTCCCGTCTCTGTCATGCCACTGTGGTGTCCGCCTTAATGCTGATCCCATGCGCCTTAATGCTGATCCTGTCCACCTTAATGCTGATCCCGTGCGCCTTAATGCTGATCCTGTCCACCTTAATGCTGATCCTGTCCACCTTAATGCTGATCCTGTCCACCTTAATGCTGATCCTGTCCACCTTAATGCTGATCCTGTCCACCTTAATGCTGATCCTGTCCACCTTAATGCTGATCCCGTGCTTAGACCGAGCAGCAGCTGCACAGGCCTGACCGTGGCTTAGCTGCTGATGTGCCCTGTGCACCACACCGGGACGCATCCTCAGTCCGCTGCTTTTCTGTTTCTTCCTGCTTCAGAGAAACTGGATGTGGAGGCGCGTCTCTCTGAGCTCTGTGAACAAGTCAAGGTAGGCATCACTTCTTAGGAAGGCCTTTCATACTTTAACGTAGTACCACAGGGAGGTAGGAACATAGTATGTTGTAAACACTGGATCAGAACACTGACTTGCAGATTCAATGAACAGCTTCCCCCCCCCCCAGCCATTCACATTACCCACATACACATTTCCTGTGACAGTCAGTCACACTGTCACTTCATCAGTACCTGTATCAGCATGTTGTCCAGTTCTTCACTGTCGTTAGTCTCTTTCTAACTGAGCGTGTCTGAATCTGCAGCTGATGCACAGGGCGAATGAAGACCTTTAACCTGAATGTGGACACTGCTTCGGCTGCTGTTCGTGTTTGTTTTAATAGTCTCTGACTTTCCCAGCAGAAGGAGTCGAGCCCTGATGAGCTGGCAGAGCTGGTGAACATGAACCTCGCCCAATTGTGTTCCCTCCTGATGGCCCTATGGGGACAGTTCCTGGAGGTGGTGACCCTGCAGGAGAGCATAGCCGTGCTCCTGGCCCTGGAGCACCACACTCTGCGCGTGAGTGGCCCAGGTTTACCTCTGTCCGGCACCCAGACCCCCTACTGGAACCGGACTGAACACAAACCTCAGTGCAAGGCAGTAAAGAAAGGAACAGCCAAAAAAAACTGGTTCAGCCATTCCAAATTTTTGCTATTAAATAAAATCTTTCTTTTATATGGTATAATCTTTTTTTATTGAGGGATCTATCTGTAGGCTGAAGTTGTGAGGTTTCTAGCATTTTCCATGTATTTCCTCCTCATTCCGTTGTTCTTCTCACAGGTTCGCAGGTTTGCAGAAGCCTTTTTCTGCTTTGAGCACCCAAGGCAAACGGCTCTTGCGTATCAGGAACTGCAGTGAGTCCCTGAATTTCTTCAGGTCTTCTTTTCATTGTCGTGTTGCTGTTTGGTTCTGGCCCAAGTTCTGCTAACTGTGGTAACTTCTGCTGAGCTTTGAGTGGAATATGCGCACGTAAGGCCTGAGTTCAGCTGTGTGATTAATAAATCCTGCAGCTTCTTAGTTCCAGGGTCAGGAAGTTGTCCTGCCTGTCCCGGTACATGCAGAAACAAAGGGTCACTGCATCCATAAGATCTTACTATTTCATCTTGTCTGTTATATAGCTTGATTTGCCTGCTAACTTGCTAAAAACATTACGGTACAAGAATGTCGGTCAAATAGATGAACCCGCACTGCCGTCCCCCATGAGAAGATTCCAGCAGTTCACAGCTTCACAGGCTGTTGCATGTCCACTTCCAGCGCTCAGAGCCACCTGCAGATGTCTGCCGTCATCAAGAACTCCAGCTACTTCCTGTCACTGCCGCCGCTGCCTGTGGAGTGTGCCGACCTGGATGGGGATTCCAGCTCCCTGCCCATTATCTTCGAGGACCGATACCTGGAGTCGGTAACTGAAGGTCCGTATAGCTGTAGGCCGGAGCCACGTTTCCCTTGAGACTGCAGGCCTTTGCGTCGACAGGCTAGATGGAAAAATCTTACGCTGGCCTTTTAGATGTTTGTGATGGTTTCTGCCAGCTGTTCTCCTCCATAACTTTACTATTGATATGAGGAAGAAGAGTGACTGCCGATCTGATGAGATGAAGCTTTGACTTGCATGTTCGTTTGTCCCTCCCGTGTTCCTTCTTGTAACACTTTGTTGTTTCTGCTTCTCCGTGTGCTCAATGTTCGGTCCGTAAGACCGCGACGGACCCTGGCTTGGCATGCACAGTGCCAGAGGTGCCCCGGCCTCCAGCAAGGCTGACAGGTCCGACGCCAAAGATTGTGGCGCCGCGGGGCTTCCCAGCCCGGAGCCCAAGCTGCAGCATGTGCCGGCATGGAGCCTGCGGCCCGCTGATGGTGACGCACCACCGAAGGCACAGAAGGGGGCGACAGATGACTGTAAATCCAGGACCAAGTCCATGAAGCTGAAGAAGAACCTCAAGACGGGGGACCCTAAAAAGCTCATTGGGCCGAACCCCAAAGACTCTGTGGTCCTGGTGGGATATAAAAACTTCAAGGCCCCCCTCGCCGATTTCCTGAGTAAATATGAAGACGGCGAGTCACTTGGGAATCAGCAGATGGAGTGGAAGCCGTTGTTGCGGGATCCCAGCACCGACATACGGAAGCCGGACTCCGCACCTTCTCCAGCTTGTCACGCTGTCCTGGGGTCTCCTGCAGACGCTAACATAAGCGGGACAAATAGCCAGATCAGAGGTGAACTTGCTAATCACTGTGCTGCGCAGGTTAACCCCAGCACGCAGGCGGTTAGCGTGGTTCCTATAGCAGAAACGCAGCATCCAGAAACTTCTGGCCAAAATGCAACCAAAGCGTCTGGGCTTCCAAGGCACATAGAAGTCAAGCCAAGCGCCAGGAACCCTTACCTGGGGGAGAAGGTGACTGTTCTCCTGCCAAACTGGAACAGTGGCTCAACGCTAATGGATTGCTGCTCGGACGCAGGGTGTGAGAAGTCACCAGGAAGTGACCTTGTGTTTGAGAAGGACCCCAGGTGTGAGGAGAGGATGCTGGATGCTGGTGAGCAGGCCCTCCTGCCCAGGGAGGTGCTCTTGGGCGTGCGAGCAGACGGCACCAAGCTGCCAGGCAAAGGGGCCCCTTGTGCCTCTTCTCGCCTCTCCGATTCGGGCTTTGAGAGTGAGCCAAGCTCTTTCGCCACTGTGCCAGGCCCGGGCTCCCAGCTTGCCGGGGGATTTCTGGCCCCCGAGCGGGACCTCCAGCAAGCAGGGAGGCCGTCCCAGGGTCCTCAGCGGGCCCCGTCTGAGCCAAGCGCCGCTTTCAGGAGCAGCGGGGCCATGGAGGGTCTCTGTACCGAGAGCACCAGTGCCATCAGCGGCATCCAGTCATCTCTCACCTCCATCAACTCCCTGCCATCTGACGAGGAGGGAGAGAGCACCTCCCAGTGCTTCGTGGGCACAGCGCCGGATAGAGCGACGGGCTGCTTACAGCGGAGAGAGGGGAGCCTGAGTACCGTGACACAGGGGACTGCCTCCAGCACCATTAGGGGTCCGTACTGTCTCAGCAGCAGGGCAGAAGCTACCGACTCGGACTCACCGACCGCTTGGCCCAGCAGCTGCAACACAGCCCTAAGTCCTGCCGTCGGCAGTGCTGTTTCACACCCCTCCACTGCTTCGGGATCCACAGTTAGTGCTACGCGACAAGGTGCCACGGAGCCCAATCCCGTCCCGGACTCCAGCGAGGATGCCTGCGAGGGAGCCGTCGGCCCCCCCAGCGAGCCGCACACAACCTGCCAGTCCAGCACCTCAGCCACCAGCAGCACCGACATCGTGAAGCGGGGCCTGGTGGAGAACTACTTCGGCTCACGCTCCAGCACCGACGTCTCCGAGATCAGTCCAGTGGACACGGCCGCCGTTACCCTGCCTGACCAGCAGGGGGCGGCGAAAGCAACAGAGGATGGAGAGGATGAGGAATGTGAGCACGAGATGATTGAGAACGGTTATTATGAGGATGATGATGGCTTGGCATTTGTGAACGGGCTGGCTGAGAGAGTGGAGGGTGTAGAGGGGAATGGGGAGCTGTGTCCGCACCCCAGGCTGCACGGCTTGGAGCACTTCAGTGAAGCAGCCGACCTGGCCAGCCAGCGGCCCCCTGAAGGCTCCTCCCTCACTTCTGCTGCCCGGGGCTCCTGCCTCACGGTGTCCTCCATACACTACTGGGAGAGCATCCCCTCGCCACAGATGAAGATGTGAGTAATACCCTCCGAGGCCGGTAACATGGGGCTATAGCTCTGCACGTGCAAAATTCTCTTCTGAGAATGAGGAACTTGTATCCTCCGAAAAAGCAGACTCTGCAAAACGTCTTTTTCAGCAATTTGGCTCATATATACTGGAGGACTCGTTCTATCAAACTAAGCCCTGTATCAAAAAAATATATGAAGCAGTACCAGGGATGTGTACAGCACCTGCCCCCAGCTGAAAGTCGATTGGCTCCCGGAGTGCCTCCTCCCGTCACTCACTGATTCAAAACATATCATTGGCTAATGAGAAGGTTGGCCCCTCCATATGAATTATGGCCCCTCTTATGCTTCCACCTTTAAAATGCCAGAATCTACCCTAAGCAGTACATGAGCCCCAGTTATCTTTAGACTGAGTGTTCCGCTGTTTATAGGGTGGCATTAATCCCAGAGCCCCGCTTCTGCTCTCATTCAGCTTCTCCCAGGCCAAAGAGGACCTCAGCAGGTTAGGGCTACCGGGCTTCCTGTACAGTGGGGTTCCTGACTTGGCGTCGAGTGTCCCCTACTTCAGCACGGAGGAGGAGGCCAGCTCCGAAGAGGGCATACACCTGATCGTGTGCGTCCATGGCCTCGACGGTGAGTGTCACGTTCGCTCTCCCAGCCTCTGCTGCCCGCTTGAATCGTGCGGCAGACATTGATGAGTTGCGTCGCCCTTTGCTGGCATTCGGCCTCATTCATGCATCTTTACAGGTAACAGTGCTGACTTGAGGTTGGTGAAGACCTACCTGGAGCTGGGCTTGCCAGGGGCTCGCATTGACTTCCTCATGTCCGAGCGCAATCAGGTGGGAATCGGGTCTCATTGTTCATAACGTAAGATTAAGGTAAACTGTACTGATCCTGGGGGATATTCTGCTGCGTATAGCAGCAAGTATGTAGAGCAGAGACAAACATACATGTAGCAAAACAAACTGCAAAGACAGCACACACAGTGCAAACAAGTAAACGTGGTGCAAAACAAACTGCAAAGACAGCACACACAGTGCAAACAAGTAAACGTGGTGCAAAATAATCTGCAAAGACAGCACACACAGTGCAAACAAGTAAACGTGGTGCAAAACAAACTGCAAAGACAGCACACACAGTGCAAACAAGTAAACGTGGTGCAAAACAAACTGCAAAGACAGCACACACAGTG